AACTACTTCCACAATAATTTAGATGACTTTGAGAATATGTATGTTAGACATTTTAGCTGCTCTATGCGAAAGCAGGAATGGATGAAAAAAATGTGATTTTATAATTAGTCATAGGCGAACCGCTTAAATCGCTGCGTTTTACTTTGGCCTCCAAGTGCTTTTCAACTTCCTCATTGAGTTCAGCTCACAAGAGACAGCTTTAAAGCAACAACTGTCCAAATCAAAGCACTTTCAGTCTACAGCTCCCCAAAGAGCGTGTTTTTAAGTTTTTAATGGAAGCAATTGTGAAACTGTGAAGCTGTACTGAACAAAACAGATACAACAGATAGAGATTACATTACATGTCATTTAGCTGACGTTTCTATCCAAAGCGACTAAAAATGAGTGCATTTCAACCATAAGGATACAAACCCAGAAGAACAAGAAACAATAAAGTAAGTAATAAGCTGATCTACAACTTGCTATAGATAAGAGCCATTATAAGTACAATTAAAGTGCTACAACGTGTTTAGTGTTTTTAGTGAAGGTAAAGTCTGAACAGGTGTGTCTTTAGCTTGCGGCGGAAGATGATAAATGACACATAAATGACAAAACAAACTCTTTCAATTGCTTCACAGATTCCTACAGTTATGGACTTGCATTCAAATTGGTAATGCTCAGTTTACAGCCAGGAGGTTAAACGTTGTCAGATAATAATGATGATGATTAAACATATACAGAGAGTCCACAAGAGTTAAATTAAAAAGAGTCAAATACTTAGCAGTAACTCAGCAGTTACTCATGATGTTACTGCTGGGGGTTTGAATCCTGGCGTGGAGTTTGCATGTTCTCCCCATGTTACACAAACAGATGATTCACGTCACGTGACACGGCTTCCAGTGTTCAATTAGATCAGTTCAAACATCAGACAACACAAAAGCTTTTTATTGGCCTATGAATGAGTGATTGTAGCTTTCTGGGCACAGAGATGACTTACCGTCACAGAGCTTGCGTTAATATTTTTTAATGACATAACATGGACAAATACTAGCTTCTAGATGCTAAACGACCTGTGGTACGCCTATTTTCTTAGTATTAAAACATTAATATATACTATATATAATAAATACACTCCTACACACCAACATTCAGATGTCTTTTCATCAGAATAAAGACACAGATAGACAGTGATGGAAGTTATTGCTTGGAAGCAAAATATTCTCCTGAATGATCATGATAACCAATATGACTGTGGAGACAAATCGTAAGCGAATCACTGAAACCCTTTTGATTTTCCCTCACTAATGCATCTCTATAATCTTCTCCTGTCCAAGCACCTGCATCACGTTGCGTAGTCTCAACAAACGAATGCCATAAATTCCAAAAATCAACCTGTTGAAGTGGATCTTTCAGTTCATCTCGGCACACATTCCTGTGTAAATATACACTTATGGTTAAAAGTGGAGCTGTTTTTTGTTCCACTGTCTCTCTTTCTCTCTGTCACTCACACACACACACAAACACCCGAATTATCTGAATAAAGTTATTTTTTTAGGCCAAATGCTTCATTTGGATGATATATATATATATATATATATATCGCTTGTGTCTGTAGCTGATGCAGAATGACCCCAAGGATCAAACGTGTTTCATTGTGGATAACAGAATGAAAATCCCTTCCACCAAGAATCTTTTACCTCATCTGTGCGTATTTCCCGTTTTCAAGGTAACAGGCATTATTCCTTGTGTTGTAATGCTTTTAAGACCCCAAAACCCTGAACTTTGTACTCCTTGTTTCTTTGGTAGCTTGTGATTTGGGGGGATTAAAGAACTTAAACACATTCTGATTGTACAGAAATGTTATTGTTGCCCTCACCTGAGCCTGGTGAGGTTCCAGCTTCAAATTCCCTCCGCCTGACCATTGACGCTTTCAAGACACAGCTGCTGTTTTGTTTGTTTCATTTCATTATTTACCCATTTTACAGTCATCTGGTTTCTCATTTATGCTGGAGCCTTTCAGCCGGGTTGTAAAAATATTACAAAAGAGTGTGAAAGTTGCTAAGCATCAAAATATATGCCCTGTCTCGTTGCACCAGTCTTTGGAGGCTCTTTCTTCCTCGCTCTACCATACAGACGGACATTATGCACAATACTGTACGTCATCCGCATCCAGTATTATGTAATCTCAGGATGTTGTGTAATAACTGAACCACGAATGACCAATAGGCTTATTCTGAAGGAATTCACGAGGTAGTGAAAAACAACAGGCGGAACATTCATGGCTGAACAGAGAAAATATACCAATCGATCTCCAAAACTACACCGGACTTTGACTTAAAGCCTGTTCTGTGAGTCATGAATATTTGGAGCTAATAGGAGGCTTATGTGGAAGAAAAAGGGGTTTAAGTTCCGCCCTGAAACACACACAACAGTAACGTAACTTTATGTAACACTCATTGTTATTGGCAGTCAGGCACGTGGGAAGAAAAGAGTTCAGGTAGAAACTAACAAGCCTGCATATTTCATTCCTCAGTTACAGGCTGGTCAAGTCGCCCTGAACCAACCCCTTGTGCCCTTTTCTCTGGGGACCCCCCCCCCCTTTTTTTTAGCAAGGGCTGATAGATGTTTGCTCAGTGTGTTTGTTGAACGTGCACTCTCAGGCCCCATGCTGCTCTGCTAAAGGCCAGTGGTCTCCCAGGTTGGGCTGCCGACAGTGACCGCTGGCCAGGACCCCGGGCCCCAAAAATACAGCGGTACAACGCCTGTCTTGTTTCTGCGGCGGCACGCTGAAAGTGGACCCAGCATGCTGGACTGTGACGCGCCGCAAGCACAGCCTGTTAGTCTTTGCCCTCAGACCAGAGCAAATAAACACATCCAGCTACACAAACACGTTGGCTGGGGCCCGGGAAAGCCCACGCGCAGCCCGCTACTAAAGAAGGGCGTCGGGGTTTATGGCTCTCGTTGGAGCTGATGTTGCAACATTGTTTTCAGAAGGAGTTATATTCAGGTCCATACGAGAGTAATGTTCAGCGCTTATTTAAAGCCTGTCTTAGTTCAGTGGCTTTTTTTAATCTGTGGTTATTTTTTAGACAAGCTGATACCTCCTGACACTTTATTTGTTTTTCCAGCCCTTGCAACAGGAAAACCAAAACATATTGTGTGTTTTTTAATCTGTCCACCCACATCTGGATTGAGTTGTTTTCCGTCTCCTCTGTCTTATCTGAGGACTGCATGAAATTGTTTTCATCAGACAGACCTTGTGAGTCGGCAAACGGAAATTATGCAACCTTATCTCAACGATTAGTCAGTTGTATCAATGGAATAATATGGCAATAGTGTTTTCAACCTCTCTCAGTTGATCGACTTGAGTTAGTATCATTTCCATCTGCTACACAGTTTACATGGTCTAAGAGCAATTAGAATGCAATAGATAAAGACAGCTAGAATGGGAAGATGAGCTTGAGAGCTGAGGTAGGGAGTTTTTTTTCACTGCTATTGTCCACAACTGCAGTTTTACCGAGAGACTCGAAGAATGCATTGCATGTTAACTGTAACCGCGTACTGTGTGATCACATGGTATTAAACCCCAGGTGCCACCAGTAGGTCTTTTTTGAAGACGGCAATTAAAGAGAAAACTACTTCTTGACCCCGATCAGAATTGACTGCTCTCAAACATGTTGATCTTGTGACAAATTGTCCTACAAGCCTTCAATGGTCTTCATTGAAGCAATAACCTCTACTATCAATCCATTGCTAATGAGTCACCGTCTGGGAATGAAGTAAGTAATATAGTGTAGGGGAAATAAGGTAAACTTATTCGACTTTAGGGACTAAATGTGTTATTTAAAAAAATAATACACAAGCCGCCAAAGTTACATACGCGTCCCCAGAGTCCTATATAACAAGTACAGGTGTGGATTTTTAAATGATCAGGGCAATGGCTTACGGAGGCTTTATAATCTACTGAAAAGAGGTGTTTTACTGGCCACAGGCTCCTGAACTCTTTCCAACATACGTAACGTCTCTCATCTTTTAGTGTCTATGTTTCTGTACGATCAAACTAAAAACAGATATATGGGGTGGGCCTAGACTGTTTCCTATGAAACAAAGTTGTTTCTAAGGAACATTTTTAACATCTACGTTATTTACATTGACCTCTAATGATGTAATTTACACAAGAATTCTAATTAGATCTGGAGGAATAAACGGCCCAAATTATTAATAAATGGTTTGCATAAACAGGAGTGTAATCCGTGATTGAATATGTTTTTTTACTGTGTCCTTAGGGGTCACCATAGTCATGGGCCATATGTATGAGGCATTTCCTGCTTCCTGGACATGAGGGGATGTGAACACAAGCAACCTAAAAAAATACTGTAACTGCCCCGATGTGGAATGTTCTGAGCTAGTGTCTTCTGTCACGATATCATTTTTAGAATACTACTACTATTGTTTGTGTATTTCCACCTTTTCACACCATCTTTATACAGAAAAGTTAGTATGCTGTGGTCTAACAATCCAAAAAGTGATATTCACAAGAGTTGAGCCTGCTTTATAGCTAATAAATAATATCTACTTTGATCCTTTAACAGTTTATACATTTATATCATATACGCTATTAATAATCTCGCAGTAGGACACATATCTGTCATTAAGAATGACTGCATTTATGAATATCATTATGACTCTGGATATGAAAGTCTGAAAAAATAAATCTCACTTTAATTCCAGGTAACAGAGATAAAAAAACAACAACAACAACAACAGTATTTGTAATTCATGAACATCTGCCGACTGCTGGCGAACTCTTTCCTGCTTCCAGCGGATTGGACGTTACCCGGAAGTGACGGTGGCGACAGAGATAGTTCAGAGATAAATTATTAGTCAAATAAAACTAACTAAGCTATTTTAAATTTAAATATAACAAAAAAAAGTAATGTGCTTACCACTATACAAAAATCGGTAGTGTTGTTATTGTGCTTATATACTTTTTGACATAACAGAAAACTAATTAGACACCAATACCCACAATGCACTTCGCTCTTGCCATCTTGTCGAGTGGTTGGGTTAGGAGAGCGGTAGGCAGCAGTTAGCTTTAGCTTTTACCTCCTCTGGTAAAGTGGTTATCTGTCAGCTAGGAGCAGCTGCCAAGAGTGTTCCTTCCACGCGACGAGAGGCACAACTTCAAAGACTCCAAGACGTGTTCGCCGTCTAGCGCTGGATTATTAGACTCTTTTTTTTCTGAAAGCCAACGGGTTTGTTTACATCATGAATTCAAACATGCTTGTACTGAGGTTGGGGAAACTGGCTAACATCGGCTAACTTAACGTTAGCTCGTCGGTGATAAATACACAGAGCTGAGAGAGAAGAGTGGGCTGCGAGACCGGGCTCGCCTCAGACTAAAGTACCGGCGGCAGCTGCGCGAACACGAACTTTGACAAGGGCCCTGTTGGCAACTCCGCTCTCGGGACACAGCCAAGGCCGAGCGGGTGTCAGAGAGAGCCGGGATAGAAGCACCAGTCACCCGTCTGCTGGGACCGGACACACCGCGGCGCGTTTCGGGAGTTTCTTTGGGGGCGTCTCTGGCTTCGGGGACACTTTTTCCTCCGACAAGTCGGAGGAAGAGGTACGGAATGAAAATGTCCTGTGATTGTACGTGTCTGCGTCGAATCCCTCCGCTGTGAAGTACGTCCCCGCACTAGTTTTTACCTGGCAGAAGACTTCCCGCTGGCAGTGCAACATGTCGAACATGCCGGCGAAGAAGAAAAGCTGTTTCCAGATCACGAGTGTTACGCAGGCTCAGGGGACGACCAGGATCACCGACGACACCGAGAGCCTCGACGATCCGGACGAGTCCCGGACGGAGGACGTGTCCTCGGAAATATTTGACGTTTGTCGGGCCGACCGCGGCACGTGCGAGAGGAGCTCATCCGAGGAAACGTCAAACAACGCCGGGGAGCCTCCGGGGGGTCACCCGACCGCCGCGGCCCCCGTCAACGGGGGGCTCTGTTATAAAAGTACGGGCCCCGGTTTTGCCCCTCCACATCGTTCAGCTACATCTCACCCATCTGTCCCGGGCCCGGCCACCCATCTGGTCACCGCTGCCACCAACTCCACCAGCACCAGCTGTAGTTCCCGCTTCAGGGTCATTAAGCTGGACCACGGTACCGGAGAACCCTTCAGACGGGGAAGGTGGACTTGCACCGAGTTCCACGAGAGGGATTCGGATTCGAACGCGAACAGAACTGTGGATGGCACGAAGCCGGCCGTAAGGCACGATCACAGCGTGGACCGGGACAGTGGGCTCAGTGGGCTCGGCCCCACCAGTAACTCTTTGGTCACCAGCAGTGCTTTTTCCGCACAGACTTTGGAGAAGGCCACGGACAGTGGCTACTCCGGCGCGCACCCCCACCCTTCAGAGGCTCCGCAGCAAGGCTACGGCCCGGCTCCTCAGATGGGCGGCGGAGCGAGTGCCTTCCAGCCCACCGGGCCCCCCCAGAACTTCCTCTCCAACAGCCTCAATGGGGTGCACCACGGTGCTCCTGCCACGCAGGCCCAGCAGTTTGCCTATTCTCCTCACCCCGCTGGCCACTCCACCGGTCAGCCTGACTACAGCCAGCAGCACTTTGTCTCAAGCGCTCAGAACCTCCCCGTGTCTGTGCTTCCCGGTGGGACACCGACTAGCCAGGTACCTTCGCCTCTAATCGCCCCCGCTGTTCCAGGAGCCCGAGGGGTCGGCAGCGAGGCCGCCTCAGCCCAGGGTCTCCTGCCGCACACGGGACATGCGTCGGCCATGGCGCCCATCCTCCCGGGAAGTGGCCCGCAGCAGCAGCACGTGGGCCAGACTCAGCCTTCAGGGGGGTCAGGCACAGCCCCCGCAACTTCCACCGCCACTCACGGCCCCGGCACGCCGGTCGCGGCGCCCTGCACCGTCGACACCCCTCCGGGAGTGCCGAGTCAGACGCCTGGCACAGGACCTGTCGTGCCCTTAGGATTCAACGGAGGAGCAGCATCGGGCCTCCCCTCCGTCTTCAGTCCGAAGTCCGATGGCCATCCGGTGCCCGGTGCCATTGTGTTCGCGAGCAAAGATGGTGTGAAGCCGTTCATCGGCGAGGGCTTCAACCTGCCCAGTCCTGGTGTCAACAGTCTGTTTGGCATCCATATTACAATGGATGTAGATGAGGACAGGTAAGAGGATGTGACACAAATATGCCATTTGTGCAATGATTTCACTTCCATAAATGTTGTTTACCACTTCTTATTTTCTTAGTATATGAACTTCTTCTTAGTTCAGAAGTGGGCGATTGGGCAATAATGTAGTATTTGTCACTATGAGCAAAGTGAGGCACAGTCTTCTCTTGTCGCAGGGCACAAAGCATGTTGGAGGAAGTGAGTGTGTGTCTGGCAGCTTGCCCTCGTATTAAACATCCTTTTTGCATTCTTCTGCACTGTGGTCACACAGCGAGCTGTGGAGAATGCCTCTCCTTTCACCAGTGCCACAATGAGGCACGCTAGAGCTCAAATGTTTGGTTGTGCTTCAGGATTAATGGAAGAACAAAACATTTGAATTCCTTCTCCGGGTGTGAAGTGATTACGTTGAAAGTGTAGTGAGCCATCCGAAACAGACCGAGACAGGATACTCTGTATGTTCAGCCTTTTTTGTTAATGATGCAACCCACGAATCAATGCTTGGTTACTTGCTTCTTTGCAAACCCACATCCTCTCCCTCAAGCCTCCTCTTAACCATACACACAGTTTGTGTTTTAAGGGGCGGCACAAGCGTCTGGTTGCTTTACAACACACGCAGAGAAGGGGATGACTCTCCAAACGTAGGCGTAGGCGTCGTTTTATTCTCCTCTCTGTCTAGGTCTAGGCCGTGCAAATACAAACAAATGACCTACTGTATTCCTCTAATGTAAACACTTGCTATTGTTAGGGTGTGTTTGATGGCCATCTCAAGTGTTGTTGGAGAGGCGATGTTTATGCCAACAATCAATCAGATGAGAGCTGGAGTACACACGCACGTATGTGCATTGTCTATGCTGAATGTATTTTATTCATACTCCATACCCCTGTTGTGGTCTTCAAGGGTCTTTAGACATAGTACCGTTGTTGGAGGAAGCTTTTGTGTGTGTGCTTTATGAGGTCTAGGGCTGATTTTGGTCATTTGTAACCTAGTTATCCATCAGGCAAATCATTGTTTACAGAGGGATGTTTTTCCAGCACAATCACACATGGGTTGTGTGCTGGGGGTCAACTACCTGTGTGTTGTCACTGATTTCACGAGGAACAGCCCGTGCCCGTTTCCTATATGTGCCCGTTTGTTTATGAGTGACATCAGTGGCTGTCTGTGTTGCTATGGTGATGCTGGCAGCAGGTTAGGAAAGCGCGAACAGGGGGGGTAGAGAGGACACACACACACACACCTGTTGCAATGATAGCAGCCCGTAAGCTATCGGTGTGTCCTCGTGAGGCCCGTCCAGGTTGACGCATCACTTTAAAAAAACTGTCCATTTGTTGCTTTCCAGTTGGGGGGTTTAAGTTTTTCCATGAGGCTGCATTTTAGATAGAAACATGTGTGAATATAGGATGTTAAGTAGGGCTGATATAATTTAAGTATAAAATGCTGCCACTTTTACTGCAGACTTGTACTAAATCAAGTCGATTGGTCCAGTGTTTTTGTGTCCTCCGATTTATAACAAAATTGCTGCATTTTGCAGTGGGGCTTCAGCACCCCCACCCCCCCCCCAGAAAAATAAGTCAAACAGCATGGTTGCAAATTGACTCAACAGCATATTGCCAAAGCCTTCAAGATGGTTTTGCTTGTTGATCCTTTTGCACCAAACTTCTGTACATCAGTTGTATTTAGCATGCCTCGTTAACTCATAACTTTGTAGAACAAATGAAACAAATTTCGTGGAAAAACCAAATATAGCAGGACACCGATAAACAAACTCCTGTCAGGTTCCTTGTTCTCTGCACTGGCTGAGCCTCGACGAGGAATCTGTTCCAACTTTCATTGTTTGGTTCTGTTTTGAGTTAGTCACCAAAGTGGAACAGCATTGTGGGTGTGGGGTTGTGAGAGCTAATTTCTGATTAGCATCTCTGGTCATCCCGCTGCAACGGTCTCGTGTACGGTGAAAAGACACCGTGCCCCCGGGACGAATCCAGTCATCCAATATCACATTAATCGAAGCACATCTGCACCTTCATCCTCACGTCAGATTTTTTTTTTTTCTCAAGGTCGTTCCGCCGTCTGTCTTACCCGAAAATGCTTTTTTTCCAGCGCTGAAAATGGAAGTAATGAACGTAGCATGTGAACATCTCCCGCGGGCAATGAGGAATTAGCCGACTTTTGCACACTGCTATGACTCTCCTTTCGGCGTACATAGCCGACATTTTTCGCACTGGAGACATAGTTCAGTCACAGTCTGCCTTTGCCTATTGGAGAGTGTGGATGGTCATTGCTCCTAGACAGTGTGGGGATTCAAACCGACCGACATCCCGTCACAAACAGTGTTTCATTGCTCCTGCCAGGTAAAAAAAAGACTGCCTGCTCATATGGGCAAACAAACCAAGGACCTTGGTCCAACTGAAAAGGGAGGCGGGGGGCAAAACTTAGAAACTGCCTCCACAAGTCCGATAGCCAACTGATGAAGTCACCGTGCTGTTGTGGAAACTCAAATAACCACAAGATTTATTTCTCCTCGCACACATCGAATGTCACATTAAGTTGTAATCTGAGATTTCTGAAAGGTCAGCTGCAAAGTGTGTGCGAGGTTCCACTCTGCGGAAATTGTGAGTTGTCCAGGCACCAACTGGGGCTCCTGCCGTTTGGAAAACAATGGCTGCCCCGGTGGAGTGTCATTTTTTTTTTTTTTTCAAGAGACATTTGCAGCGTGTCCTTTTGTACAAGCTGTGGAGCGTGTTTAACCCATGAGCTGTTGCTAAAAATTTTAAGTCTAAGCCGCTCTGTCTTCCAGGCCTGGAGATAGGGAGGGACAGCAAATTGTCAAAAGTTTCGTAAGACTGAACTTGTACGTGCCATCATTCCATTTGATCCCTTGGCAGTTTGACAGCTCAACACAAAGAGAGGAGGGTGGGAATGGGGGGAACGGAGAGTCAGATTTGGGATGGGGTGTGTAGGGGGTTGTAGTTTGGTTGCAGCAGTGCCTGGAAACAAGGGAGCAGCTTATTTTCCACAGATAGCTGACCTGCCTGAACTTCCAGGGGATACATTCCAGGAGCCCTGAATGGCTGTGATTGTGGGACGCCTCGGGCCGAGCAAACGGGCCTGCGCCGGCTTTTTTCTTCTTTTTTTTTTTTAGTGATGGGGGGTGGGGTTGGGGGGCTGGTCCACTGGCCCTGCAATGCTATCTGGGCTTTCTCTCTGGCTCTTGTGTGTTTTTGTCTGTCCCCAACTGGTTTTAACACTCTCGCTCTAAATTTGGCTCCCAATTAACATAATGGTTTTCGAATTAATCGGGAGAGAGAACCTCTTCGCTTGTGAAAGTTTCCGTGTTCAGCAATCACTCAATTCTCAATTTTCAACTAACTCAATGCGGTTCTAAAACACAAGAGTAACACTCCTTTTGCTGCACTGAGGCAGAGCTACAATAATCTCCTCATTCTGTGATTTGTCCAGCGACTTGTCTGTTTGATTTAGATACTCATCAGCGTTTGTTAAATGTTTTATAAAGATTCAAAAAGCAGCTGAAGGGGCCAGCGGTGTGAGGCAGACTGGTTCAATAAGTTAGCATAGCAGGACCCTCCCTGTTGTCTCAGCAAGATGTGAGCAGGGGATCACTTCCAATTAGAGTGGACCTGCCAAAGCAAGTAAACAAGCACGCTGCGGGGGGCCGGCCACAACGAACCCGGCCTGTGCTGCAAGCCGGGGGCCCTCGAATCAGCCGCAAAGTATGTCGCAGGCTATTCCAGGAATGAGATGACCGTGTGCAAACTGTGGCTGTTTGTTGTTTTTTTTCCGACCAAATGGTCTCGGTACACAACAGGTTGGACATCTCCTCTCGGAGGGTTTAGCAACACGTTAGGTAAGCACCAAGTCGCTCGCCCCCGCCACCACCCTGCACTTTGAGCACGGAGCGGAGCAGGCGACGTTGAGCCGAGGGATTGGGTAACGTCCCGCTGTGTGTGTGTGTGTGTGTGTCAACTCTTGATGGCCTCAAATGACGGTTTCATCTTCACGAGCTTAATACTACGTGTTCCTGGAGATGGGATAACTGGACGTGGGAGAGTTTAGACTGATCTGAAGTTTGAATAGTGTTCTGATGGGTTTGATCCTTCTCACTAAAATGAACAATAAATATGCAGAAGGTTAGCTGGGCCAGCTGAAGGATAGTTCCATGTTTCCATGATACCAGTCAGGCAAGAAGGAAAGTGCTTCTCACAATTTGCCGTTTGCTCACAATATTGTGAAGTGAGTATTAAGCTAGCCGTCCTTTTGCAAATACAGATATAAAGATGTTCATCATAAACTATTAAATGATAATTATATATTAATGTCTGCAGGTGCACATAAACCATGAATCCTACAAATTCAACTTACAAACGCTGAAGCAGCACAGATGTCCTTTTCAAACTTTAACCCGGCATCTGTGGCGCTTCAGAGTTTCCTCAGAAGTCATCAAAAGTATTTTGGTGTCTGTTGCCCTGTCCGTTTACAGTAAAGTCAGATGTTCTCACACAACGTTGAGGAAGTGAAAGCGAGATAAGCCACGAGGCACAAGTGGTCTCCTCTTAGCATGTTTCACGCTAATGACGAGCAACCGTAAATCTGAAAGTACACGGGGGACATGTATTTCAGACCAAGTAAAGCCCAATAAAGAAGGGGGAGGATAAGGAAAATGCTAACCACCTTTTGGCGGTTGCGGGGCTTGAGGTGGTTTTGTAGAGGAAGAGCTTAGTCTTTAGGCATGGAGAAGAAGTCAAATGAATATAGACATCCTTTGATCTAAATAAGCTAAACCAGTTTGTCTTCGTGTGCGGGAACGAGGGCTGAACATGAGGGTTTCAGAGGAGCCCCGACATGACTGAACAGTGAGTAATGAGGATGTGTGGAAAGCAGGGCAGGCAGCTGCCTTTGAGTCATCCATCCTCTCTTGCTGCCTTTCAATGGTTGTCGTCTGCTGAGCTGGCGTGCGTGCGTGCGTGTGTGTGTGTGTGTGTGT